TCTCAAAACTCCAAAATGTAGTCCAGAGAGTAGTAAAACTGATAAACTACACATCTAAAATATTTCATGCACTGATCCTACACCCGTTTTTTTTCTCTTCACCTTATTTTTTAACAAATCTTTAAAAATATCAAAACCTTAAAAAGCACCTTATTTAACCCATTTTCATATTAGAAAAAAAAGAGGTCACATTAGCAAAAGGAAGCTATTCTTAACAATCAAAAACAGAACTTAACTGCAATTAGTAAAATCATCATATAAGTACAGTCAAAAGTTGCCAAGGAGAGAAAACACACACAACACAGCCAAAGGATTGCTAGTAGGATGTGACTATAGCAAGATTTTAGGTTACAGATAAATTACTAAGATTGCTTTCAGAATAAAAAACAATTTAAAAATTACTCAGAAAGCAAAATTCTCTTAAAAAACCAACTAAAGAGTTGGCAAGAGAACACTTGATCCTCAAGTTCATCCATCTTTAAGATATTTTTAAATTATTTGCTAGAATATGTAAGAAACTGTCAACATCTCTTATTTTAACTTATGATGAAAAGGAATAGAAAATTTTTTGTTGTAAAGTTTCAGTTATCTTTAAATGATCCTACAATGCCCTAGCTGGTTTGGCACAGTGGATAGAGCCTCAGCCTGCGGACTAAAAGGTCTCGGGTTCGATTCCAGTCAAGGGCACATGCCTGGGTTGCAGGCTCGATCCCCATTAGGGGGCATGAAGTAGGCAGCCGATCAATGTTTTTCTCTCATCATTGATGTTTCTTTCTCTCTCCCCCCCTCCCTTCCTCTCTGAAATCAATAAAAAATATATTAAAATAAATAAATGATCCTACAAGATCATTCACTGACATAAAACTCTTAAGATGTATTTTGTGGAGATTCTATATAGCTACTGGAAACTTACATTACCCAAAGAATTACATATGTTGATTATCTACAGACATTAAGAAATCATATTGATACTGAAAATACTGGTTACTTTTCTTCTCTAAACTTTTCTGAATTTTTCAAACTTCTACCAACACTACCAAAAGTCAAGACAACTGACAAAAACAACTTACTTTTAGATTTTCAGCTTTTCTAATAAAAAAATTCTAACTAAAAATTATATGAAAGCCAGTAATGATATATACTCATTAGAGAAAAATACGTACTGTTAGATAGATAAGAGACCTAATTAACCTGCTTTTACTTTCAAATCCTTAACTTAAAAGATAGATTTATTCAGCCCAGCTGGTGTGGTTCAATGGTTGAGCTTCGACCCATGAACCAAGAGGTTGAAGGTCAGGCCATATACCGGGGGTTGCAGCTCATTACTCAGTAGGGGGCCTGCAGGAGGCAGCCAATTGATGTTTCTCTCTCATCAATGTTTCCATCTCTCTCCTCTCCTCTCTATAAAATCAATTAAAAATATGTATTTAAAAAAAGACTTATTCAAAGCAGAGTGCTGCCACAAAAAAAAAAAAGTCTATGTTTCTTGAGTCTTCCATGAGCAAAGTTTGAAAGAATGATTAAATCTTGAGCCATGATCTCAATATCATCTGGAGTCATGATTTTAAAAAGCAAATAAAAACTAAAAACAGGGTAATTACTATAAACATTTTTCTGCAATTAACTGGTGTATTCACGATAGGTACACGTACTTTATTCTTAACACATTCCTTATAGATCAGGGGTCCTCAAACTACGGCCCCGCGGGCCACATGCAAATGCAAATATTGTATTTGCTCCCGTTTTGTTTTTTTACTTCAAAATAAGATATGTGCAGTGTGCATAGGAATTTGTTCATAGTTTTTTTTTAAACTATAGTGCGGCCCTCCAACAGTCTGAGGGACAGTGAACTGGCCCCCTGTTTAAAAAGTTTGAGGACCCCTGTTATAGATGAAGCAGCCAAAATGATTTTCTTGACACTAAAAAGCCCACTAGAAGCTAATGGATTAGGAAAAATGTTTATGGCACGAGAAAAATGTTAAATATTTGTTAACCAGTGTGCTGAAATAATCACTGCCTGCTTCACTACCTAGCTCAGGAAATCAAAATCTTTCTTCAGATCTCCAAAAAAAAAAAAAAGAAAAAAAAAAGAAAGCTCTGACACTTTCCATCTACTTTTCCACTGTTCAGATTCCACTTCCAGTTGCTTTTTGTTTTTGTTTGTACTTGAAATTCAAGTGAGTCAGTTATTACCCTTAATTTCTACCACAAAGATAACTTTAGGGGTTGTCAATTCTCCCCAACCAGAAAAATAACATGGAAAGGAGTTAAAGGCACAGCTTAAAATTTAATCAGTGATTGATATATTTCTTATTCTTACTCTAAAACCAAAAGCTTACAACTTGAAAATTATAAAATAAAAGCACTCAGTAATAAAACTTTATCAACAAGTAATCTTATGTCAACCAATACAAATCTTAATTTAAGAAAAAAAAACATAAGACTTTAAAATTTTAGAACAAAGTGTTAAAGTAAATGGACCTGTGTGGCGGTGATAAAAGAATTCTTTCCTTTTTTTCTCTATTTGCCATTTTTTTCTATTTACTTTTATAACAAATTTCATTTAAGACAAAGGAAACTGCTTAAGTCAGAGTGCTAAAAATCTGCTTGCTAGTTGCCTTTGTGATCCTCCATAATAAAATATCAATCACTTCCTCTCACCTCAAGTAATTTTCACTGATGCTTTTCCAAAGGTTTTCCCAAAACTCTTACATTATTTTACTAGACACAATATAGAATATAAATACAGTAGGCCAGGTACTAGCATACTTGATGCCGGAAAAATATAAACATGGTTTCTGGGTTTGGTTCTGTTGAGGTCATTAATCCAGAGAATGAAAAGGAAGGATAATTTGGCACCGTCTTTAAGAATTACTATCCTTGCTGCTTATTCTCCTTCCTTCTTACCCCTTGAAAAATCCTCTGCTTCTCCAAAACAATTGCTAATAATTCCTGAACAGGTCTCTTTCCTACAAAGCCTTCCTGAACCCAACTAGCCAACCACAACCCTCTAACCTCCTTTGAAAATTTGCTGTTCCAATCCATGGTGCACATCTGGAACTTGCTATATGTACAGGTATTTGACATACATACAACCTATTCTCTATATTCCATTATTAGCTCCTTGGGAGAAAGGACTACATGCCTAAATCCTAGCACTACTAGAATGTCTTACATGATAGTGATGTACACCACTTAGTGTGCTCTTGGTTTCCCAAACTCTTTTATATACTAGTACACTTGAACCTCACAACTACTCCTATTACCCTATTTTTAAGGAGAAACAAAATCACAGGCTAAATAATTTGTCATGGTTCTATTAAATTAATCTTCAAAAATCTATTTACAATAGTAAATATATGTAGCAAATATAAGAAACCTCTGGAACACAAGAGGTTTACAAACCTCCAGAAAGTGGCAAATCCATGTACTTTATTGTTGCCAGGAAAACTACTAACCTCAAGTTCAACTCTGCCCAACTATGCAAAACAAACTTTGTCCTTGGAGCCCTTTATAAAGATATTTTAAAACTGCCAACATAGCAAATACGGCACCATGAGAACACTATCCTCAACTTCTAAAAAGCTTATAGCATTTTAACAAAATACTATGGCTTCTGTTTAGTACAAAAAGGGGACATTTCAGCATCAAACCACAATATTACAAAACTTGAAGTCAGAATGCATTTTGCAAGAACCATGTGACACACACATGACAGTCAGCTAAACTGATGGGTGGACCTTGAAGGGAAAACGTCTAATTGACCAAAGCAGCAAATAAACTCAACTTCTAGAGCAAATGCTGACTTTTGCTTTAGGAAAAAAAAAAAAAAGAAAAGAAAGAAAGTTTACCCTGCCCCCCAAAAGCCTTCTGACACTGAAGAGGAATGCCAATTAAATCTCCTCCAATTATTCATTAATTTATAGATACAAACTGTAGGAGGATTTTTTTAAGGGCCATTAAGAGAGCCCAAACAAAGTCTTCCCACGGAAAGTGAGCAGCAGTTCCTAGGAAACGTGCCAGGTGTGTCACATCTGCCGTGGTGACTTCTTGAGTAAGCAAGAAAAAGAAATGCATTAACTTTTCATGACACGTCATGGAACCTCATTCCCTATCTGCAAACATCCAAGGAGGTAATCCAAAACCTGCAGATCTATCATAGGACCGGCCCATTCGTTTCTCTTTTCAACTTCACAGCAAGGTCTTCCTTTAACCTGGTCATATCCGATACATGCTCCTACGATTAGTCTTTCTCTTTCTTGACCTACACAATGCAAAACGACTTTAAGTGTCCTCTAGAAGAAAAAAAATCACAAATGCCTAGGCTTTTTAGGAAGGCAATGGCGAGTTCTTAAAGAACTCCGGGAAATAACAAAAAAAGACAACTAAAAATTTTAAAACGCTTCTCACCATCGACTCATTCCCCTCAAATCCCACTTAGCCCTGAAAAACATCCACATTACCGGCAACCTGGCCGAGAAGGTGGAGAGAGCCAACAAACTCAAGATTTACAAGTAAACTGGCCTCCGCCCAGGCGATCTGACAGCTCCGCCGAGCGGGCGCGGGGTCCGGCAGGGCCCCCCGCAAGCGCTGTCCCTCCCGGCCTCTCCCCCGAAGAACAATCCCCCTTCCAAAGTCACAGCCCCCGAAGTTACCCTTCCCACCGCCCTGCCGCCGACTGCCCCACGCCCCACCCCTCTCAGCCCACGGTCCCTCCGCGTCAGTCCGACACTCCGGCGTCCGACACTCGGGCCTCCACCCGGACCCGGACCCGGTCCAGGCCCCGGCGGCTCGCCCCTCCAGCCCGACCCCTCCCCGAGGCCGCCCCTCCTCCGTCAGACAATGGGGCCCGACTCCCAGCCGCCAGCCTCTCCTCCGGCCCCATCACCCTCCTCTCAGCCCGGCGGAGGCCCCCACCCCGTTCCCTGCCCTCCTCGCCCCCTTTCAGCCTGCCAGAACTGGCCCACCGACCCAGCCGACCGGTGCTCTCCTGCACTCACTATTCGGGATTCATGCTGGACATGTCACTGCAGCTGCCGCCGCCGCCACCGCCGCCCTTGCTGCTGCAGCCGCCGACCTGACTCTCCGCGCCGCCCCGGGTAGTCGGAGAGGAATGAGATAGGCTGTTCCGGGAGAGCAAACGTCTTCCCCCACTCCGTCCCCTTAGAACACACTCAGCAGCCGCCGCCACTCAGCTATCGCTTCCACCCAAAATGGCCGCCGGCGAACCAGGAAATAGGGAAGCCTGAGACGGAGGGGCCTTTACATAGCCCAGAGGCGGCCGCACCGCGTGGCATGCCGGGAGAGAGTGTTGCTAGCACTTCTGCTGGCGCTGAGGGTTGACGGTGCGGCTGGGAGGCCGGGACTCAACTTCCCGCCAAGCCCCGCGCTCCTGGCGCATGCGTACTTGCGGGGCTGTCTCCCGCCCCATTCCCCACTCCCTCACCGCCGCCCTCCGCTCCTCCCGGCGCCCCGCCCCGCTGACTCGCTGGCTAGGACTTCGCTCGGACTCCCCCTAGCGGATTGGCTGAGGCCGGGCGGCCCTGGTGATGTCATCAGTGAGACGTGGCAGCCGGGAAAGTCAGCACCCCAGAGGGGAGGGGGAGGGAAGGGGCAGTAGGCGGTGCTGGCGGCGGGCGGAGAATGGGGGTGGGGGCGGTTCTGGGGACTCTGCTCCGGGAAGAGAGAGGGGTCGGAACCCGAGGGACGGCTGGAGTGCGGAGGCGGGGAGGGAAGGGGGCTGGAGGACATTGGCGGCGGGTCCTGCGTCCCGGGCGCCTTTGCTGGCTTCCGCCGTCATGCTGGTCTCAGGACGTCCCTCTAAGGGCGGAGAAGGAGTGGGGGGCTTCTGCAGAAAACGGCGTCTCTGGGGAACGCGAAGCCCTTCTTTCAGTTTCCCTCCTCACTCACGTACTGGCACTATTACTTTCTTTTTTCACGTCTTACTCTTTCCTTTGATCCCTGCTCTGATCTCCGCAGCCTGGATCCTGCAGTCACCTCCAAGCAGCCGAACTCCTTCTGTCTTCCCTGTTCCAGGCCATCTCCACACGCACAGCCAGATTTACCCTCCTGGATGGAACAGCGCTTCCATCACGACTCCACAACTTTTAATGGCTTCACCTTCTGTGGACGGGACCCGGAATTAACAAAAATTGCAAGATGTTCCTGTCCCGGTCTTAGCCGTCAGGTTGAATTGTACTTATTTTTAGTTGAAACTCCGGGAGTAGTACGAACACATATTTTGGTCTTAACAGCTCTCTTTAATCAGCTCGGGAACATAAATCACTAAACTGTAGCATACTATCTTGGGTTATTTCATTACAAAGGGCATAGTACAGTATATTGTCCAAAGTTTATCTTCCAACTTGTTCTAAGAACCAAGAAAATTATCTCCCAAGAGTGATTGCAAAATCACTTTCAATTTCCGTGACACCAAAATAAGGAAAGAAGGCTGTTCTTATTATTACCCATTGACCAACTACACCCCTTCACCCTAAATTCCACCATGTGCCCAAGTTGACAACTTCATTAAACAGCACTTCGGAGTTCCTTCGCATCATATCGGCTAATGAAGCGAACATGGTCACCATACCAGAAGCACCCTGGATGGATCAATGATAGACATCAGAAAGTGTTGATTACCCTAGTCTCCTATCCTTTCTTGTTTATTGTGATTTCACAAATGAAACGCTCAGAAAAAATCTCTGAAGAACTCATCCTCACCCAAAAATACAATTGTTAACCTGTCCCTCCCCTTGGAGGCATACCCCTAAATTTCCTTGAATTGCCTATTTCCTTTTCCAACAAAGAAATACCTCCTAATAACTTAACTTAAGTGAGAGTGTAGTTGTAAGAATTAGATTAAAACAGATCAGAGCAGGGATCAAAGGGAATAATAAAGCATATTGCACAATGGCTGTGGGGGCACTTGGTAAATGAATTACTTTTCCCTTCCCTTAACTTCCCTGAAACTTACAAGTGTACTTGCTGTATACCAAGGACAGAACCCCTCAGATCTTATAGTGCTGTCACATACAAGGAGATCAGTGGCAGCTTATGTCTAGGTGTTTAAGAATAGCTACTTTTATACTTCAGATTAATAACTCAGAATAATTCATTAAACTGGCATGAGCCCTGTTGGTTTGCCCTATTGGTGAATCAGAACTCTTCTAGAGCGATTTGTCCATTTGTTCTTTGGGTCATTCTTTTCTTCCTTTCTTCTTTCCTTTTCATTTAATTCCCTTTTTCTTTTATCAAATAGTTATGACCTGACACATAATAAATGTGTTTGGAACTTGTGCTTGGAACCATGAGGAACACAAGGGTGAATAACTACAGCTCTCTGTCTGCAAGGAGATTATACAACCTAATGATAGAAAGATGTATACACAAATCAAGGTCTACAGGGACAAATAAAAAAATAAGATTAAATTATATGAGGTGTGTAGGAACAGAAATCAAATCCGTGATTGACAGGAACTAGAAGTGGGAAGAAGGAACTGTCTACAAAGAGAAAGGAACTTTGTTTGATGGAAATACAGTAGCTACACAGATTTTGTATTGTACTGGCACCTCTAACTGCCATGTTGTTCAAGGGTTAACTGTACTTTATATCATCATTGTGGTGATGGTTAGTTATACCTGTTATGAACCTGACATTCAAAAATGATATAAGGTGAAAATACAGAGGAGGGAAATAATTCCAACTCAAATTACTGGGAATGCTTTTATTAAGGAAATGATATTTGAATTAGGCCTTGAAAGAGATTAATCGTTTGATCATTGGCAAAAAGGGGGAAGAGGGAGCCATTTATCCAAAATGACAGAGTATGAGCATAACCCTAAAAGTGTAAAGATACACATGAGTTTAAGGAATAGTTCCAGGGAAGATGGGGTGGAAGACATTGAGGTTAAGATGAGAGCATGAGGCGCCCTAGATGGTTTGGCTCAATGGATAAAGCATCATCCTGCAGGCTGAAGGGTCCTGGGTTCGATTCCGGTCAAGGGCACATGCCTGGTTTGTGGGTTCGATCCCCAGTAGGCGTGCAGGAGGCAGCCGATCAATGATTCTCTCTCATCATTGATGTTCTATCTCTCTCCCTCTCCCTCTCTAAAATCAATAAAAATATACTATTAAAAAAAATATGAGAGCATGGGGAGCCCCAAATGCCTGCTGAGGAGTTTTAACTTTATTCACTAGGCAATAGAATCAGAAGTCCTGAGAAGAGTGAGGTGATCAGCTCAGTGTTTTATTTTTGTTTTGTTTTTTTTTATTGCTTAAAGTATTACAAAGAGTATTACATATGTCTTCTTTTTTTTTTTCCCCCGCCCTTGACAATCCCCTGGCCTCCCCTACCCCCCAGTGTCTTATGTCCATTGGTTATGCTTATATGCATGCATACAAGTCCTTCGGTTGATCTCTTACCCACCCCCCTCCTGTCCTCCCACCCTCCCCGGCCTTCCTGCTGTAGTTTGACAGTCTGCTCGAGACAGCTCTGCCTCTGTATCTATTTTTGTTCATAAGTTTATAATGGTCTTTATTATCCAGAAATGAGTGAGATCATGTGATATTTTTCCTTCATTGACTGGCTTATTTCACTTAGCATAATACTCTCCAGTTCCATCCATGCTGTTGCAAATGATAAGAATTCCTTCTTTTTTACAGCAGCATAGTATTCCATCGTGTAAATGTACCACAGTTTTCTAATCCACTCCTCTGCTGATGGGCACTTAGGCTGTTTCCAGATCTTAGCTATGGTGAATTGTGCTGCTATGAACATAGGGGTGCATATATCCTTTCTGACTGGTGTTTCTGGTTTCTTGGGATATATTCCTAGAAGTGGGATCACAGGGTCAAATGGGAGTTCCATTTGTAGTTTTTTGAGGAAACTCCATACTGTCTTCCATAGTGGCTGCACCAGTCTGCATTCCCACCAGCAGTGCACGAGTGTTCCTTTTTCTCCACATCCTCTCCAGCACTTGTCGTTTGTTGAATTGTTGATGATAGCCATTCTGACAGGTGTGAGATGGTACCTCATTGTTGTCAGCTCAGTGTTTTAAAAGTAGCACTTTGGAGGTAGGGAGATTAGTTAAAAGTAATTAGATTCATTTAGGCAAGAAATAATGAGTCCTGACCTAGAGCAATTGCATCAGGAATGGAAAGGAGAGGATATTCCAGGGAGGAGGAGATAGAATCCGAAGGTATAGGGGGAAAGGAAGTTCTAAAAGTGACTCAGAGATATTGTATCCTATTTACTTGCCAGCTTGGGAACCAAGGCCCCAACCAAGTCAGAGAACAGGGGAGGAGCGAGGTGGAATGGGGTAAAAATGGAGAAAGACTGGCAGTGCTATGCAGTTCAAAGTCAGGGTTAAAGCTGCCCTGGTGTGGAAGTACTGCAGTATAGCCATGCTTAACAAAGGGACATGTTCTGAGAGATGTTGTCTGTAGGTGACTTTATAATTGCATAAACATCATATAGAGTGCTCTTCCACAAACCTAGGTGGTAGAGCCTACTACACACTGGGCTGTACGGCAAAGCCTATTATCACTCCTAGGCTGCAAGTCTGCACAGCTTGTTACCATACGAAGCAACATGAGATTAAATCAAACATAAGCAAAAATGATAGAATCAAGAGGCATGTAAACACAAGACATATGAGGCTGCTGCTAACATAACAGCATACTGTTTTATAACACTCTAAAATAACAAAGGTATAATATAATAAATGCACAAACCAACCGTAGTCATTTATCATCATTACCAAGTTTTACGTACTGTTCAAGACAGGACTGGTGGGGAAAAAAGGTGTTATGTACTGTATGTAACTGTATATGCTATATTTTATACGACTGGCAGCTCAGTAGTTTGTTTACACCAGCATCACCACAAACAAGTGAGTAATGTGTTGCACCATGACTTTACAATGGCTACGACATCACGACACCATAGGAATTTTTCAGCTCCATTATAATCTTATTAGAGGCCTGGTGCACGGATTCATGCACCTATGGGGTCCCTTAGACTGGCCTGCACCCTCTTGCAATCCAGGCTCCCTCGGGGGATGTTGGAATGCTGGTTTCGGCCCGATCCCTGCAGGCCAGGCTGAGGGACCACACTGGTGCATGAATCCATGCACCGGCCTCTAGTACTCATATAAAATCTTTGGTTAATCTCTTCCTGCCCTCTCCCCTCTCCACTTCCCTCTGAGATTCATCAGTCTGTTCCATGTTTCCATGCCTGTGTGTTGAGCGTCATAACTACCTATCAAATGGTCGA